AAATTTAAATGCATCTATGGTTAAAATTTTAAATTTCAAACTTGCAGTTTTATTTTATTTCATGAATTAGTTAAAGTACTCTACGTACAGCCATCCTAGTCATTAACAACTATAGAAATTCCTTTAGCAGTTTCTAACACAACTAATTTGTCTAAGTGGGTTACATGACCCTATAAAGCACCATACATTGAGACCACAAGCCATATATGAACTACTAGACTCAAGCATTGTGTTTACAGTATGTTTAAGGAGACAGCTATTATAACTGTCTGTCTCTAATTTAGAAAATAGATGATCAATATAAAGAATAAAAATATTCCGCTAGATTAAAAATAGTCAAGACGCCTTTTATAGGATTCTTGCGTTTTATAGAATTCTTGCGTTAAATTCTTGGTGAAGTCAGTACGATAAACCAATTGATCTGAATATTTTATCTGTATCCTTTGATCCTTCATTGGTGTCCCAAAAACTACCTATCATTCGCATAGAATAGCTAGTCCATCATCTTCCATTAAAAAAAACGTTATAAAAATAATATCATAAAATATAAGTACATTGTTCTTTCTTTATTGTACACACACAGGAAAAAAAAATAGCAATAATAAAATAAAAGTAATGTACAAGGGCGAGCTTATCTCTAAAAAGAGATTTCTTCCAGCAAACCTAGAAAATGTTATAGGATAATTTGGTCATTAGATCAGCCATACATACGTGTACGAGAAAAGAGAAGAAAAAAAAAGGGAAAGGAAGACATTAAAATTATATAAATATTAATAAGTCACACTATAAGAAGGAATAAACATACACAAATATATAAATATATAGACATACATAAATTGTACATAAATAATATATAAGGTTTCGGTTAATATATAATTGTAATACATATATATGTATAATAATACGTCAGCATTGTGAAAGATAAAATTTTTTTAAGCGGCTTTTAAATATACCAATGCTAGCGCTGTCACGCAGTTCGTGTGGTAATGAATTCCACAATCTAATAGCCGACACAACAAAAGAGTTTGAGTATGCCTGCCCAGAGTGTACAGGAGTCCGTAAGACTAATCTATTTTGGGATCGAATGTGTACTTCTGTCGGATGGAGAAAATGGAAACGTTCGCGGAGATAGGAAGGTGCAGAAGGATTATGCAATATATTGTATAAAAGACTGAGGACGTGTACGTTAAGTCGTAGTTGAAAGGGCAACCATTTTAACTGTTTACGGTACTGTGATATATGGTCGAACTTTCGCAAACCAAAAATAAAGCGAATGCACACGTTCTGGAGACGTTCCATTTTGCTAAGCAATTCGACAGTGGCATCGAGAAAACAAACATCTGCATAATCAAGAAGAGGTAAAAGGAGCGTATTGGATAATTCGACCTTCGTTTTGAATGGCAGAAAACTTTGAAGACGCCTCAAGGAGTGAATTGCCCCGTAAATTTTCTTACTAACGTGCTTAATGTGAGAAGACCAAGAAAGGTCACTGTCTATGTAAACACCCAAATCCTTTACAGTTTTAACGCATGATATTATATCTCCATTATATACTACTGACGGTATGTGCGTTGTATCTAATAAATTCACCATATATTTGCTGCCAACAATGATGGACTGTGATTTTTTAGCATTCACGAGCAGACCATATGCCTTAGCCCATTCACAAATGTCATCGAGATCCGTATTCACCAAGGAGATGACGTTATCTATGGATCGGAGTTCGAAGCTGCGATACAGTTGCAGATTACGATAAGTACATTGTTATTCCAGAGCACTACAGTTCAATACCTCTGTTTCCAGTAATTTACCCGCTGATCCAATATTTGACCTGACAATAATGGGAACTACATGTATATCTTGAATATAAAATCATCCCATTCCCAATTCTTTACTCTCAGATTCGGGAATAACTTACTCGCTGAAGTTTTCACTAAAAACTTACAGATTTCAAGAAATGCATTATACATAACATTTCATATGAATTACGCCAGAGTTAACGCTATCACCATGATTTTTAAAGCATCCAAGCAAGACTGCAATAAGAGTTTACTAGTAGATATTTACCACAATGTTATAATAAACTAGATAAATGATGATTGTAAGCGAAGAACTTTATATATACGTTTCAAAAGTAAAGCAGATAACAAATGTTATTACCATAGAAGAATGGTAATGACAATATAACATTTTTCTGTATCAATATGTATTAAATGTAATCAAAGAATACACAATAAAGAACATTAAATAAAAAGGCTATGATGTTTATAATGATATAGAAAATGTTTGTTAAAAAGATAGAGAAGTCAAAGAAATAATTATAATGAAAGAAAGAATTACATGCTGCATGATTTGAATTTCGTTACTGTATTTAACAAATGAAGCAATGTCCGCCATTTGAAGAGATGTTACGACTGTACATGTACATGAGCGTAATAAAAAGTGACACATTCCTCAATTGAGCGATGGCCGCGACGAGATCTCGAATTAGCGCCAATTTGTGTCTCCGGCTGACTCACAACCCGTGAGGTACCGCTAGGTGCATGGCAATCAAACACCCTAATTATAAAATAATTTCTTCATAATTCTATAGTTGAGGTGGACCATGAATTAAAAGAAATGCCCAAACAAAACACCAGATACACTGCGACTAACATTTCTGAAGAATGCTACAGTTACGATGGACCATGATTTTGATGAAATGTCCAAATATAACACCTACTACCGTGACAATATATGGCAACACTATGACCAATATTTCTGGGATATATGATGTCAGAAAGTAGAAAGTCATTTAATTATAAGAAGTAGATGCCTTAATAATTTATATTGGGACATGAATCCAACCATCACAAACACATCTAGTGGTTTATTGCCGATGAATTCGCCACGCAATGAGTTGGTTTTATCGTAAAACTTTCATCCTTCCTTAAGGCCACACCAATTACACCAGTAGCGTAAGCAGGATCATTATCTCACTAAAATAAAATTAAGTAATTTTTATTACAACCTACTTCACCCGCGGTTTCAACTACATTCAAATTTAAAAGAAATTATTGAGTCCCGTCTATTCCTGAACTTACCACATTTTTCTCGTCTTCTAAAACTATATCATCATATTAAATAACTCAAAACGACATAAAGAGTAAAAAGAATTTTTCAAATCCGGTTGGTAATTTCCGAGATTAGTGCGTTCAAACAAACAAAGACACTCTTAAACTCTATATGTAAGTATAGATATAAAAATTTAACTAAGAGTTGTGTCCTTCGTAAACGCTTATCAACTTCATTTGATGCAAACAAAAATAATGAGCTGATTAAATATATTCAGATATTAAAACAAATGAACGTACCTATGTACAAAGTATGAGATAAACAGCATGAGTGCTGATCCAGAGTAATACCGACCTTGCTGTGTAAATAAGTGGTTCCCGCCAATTTAGCGCTTCCCACCGAATCACTGAACATATGGAGCCTCTGGCGATTAGTCATGCTTCGTCATAGCACTGCTTATATGTAGTTTTATATTATTACCTTATTAGGACTTACGGTAAAAATGGTGTGATACAATATAGCGCCACAATTCAATGTATTGTTCATTAATACAAGGTACTACCTACCTACTCATTTCGATATACAAATTATTACTTTGTATTCCTTGAGAAAGATTTTATGAGTTTATCTCTAATGACGAATAGCCAAAATTAACTCAAATTGAGGATAGATTACTCGAGAAAAATTAATCCTATCCTAAGCGGTATCTACAGACTTATATGATATAGCACATTGTCTATACCACCGGCAATCGAAGTCACATTCATTTGAAATTCATATATTAATATCTGATATATTTAGATCTCCAAGCAAATCTCAAACATTTAATGAAAACATAATCGCTAAAATCCTTTTAATGAATCTAATATGTTTCTATAGAGTAGTTACGTAATCAAAAGCGCTTTAAACATCTAGATCTTATAATATTGCTGAGAACTAATTATACATAATTTGATTTCCAAATTTAGATCTTATAACCATTTGGTAAAGGCACCTAATTATATAGTACCTAAATTAAATTAATCGTAAAGCTTACAAATGGTTAGGCATAGCACTATCAAACTAATATCTAACTATATATGGTACGAGTCATCGAATGGTGACGTTGGTGTTAGTTTAAGGAAGTTGATGATATTACAATTATGTATTGTTAATTATTTGTTATATTAAGACATATATGGAGTAGTTACGTACTAACAAACTTATGTTATACTAATACTCCGGTCCAAATTTATCAGGGTTTATAACTTTCAGTTTTATGTCTATTAACATTACATATAGTCTATGACAGACAGACAAATTTTAGATTGAGCAGAAGATAAAGAAAAATATGTAGATATGACTATTCATAAGTGCTTAAATTTCAGTTTATTTGAATAAAGAATTTTCTATTCTATTCTATCATACTCCGGGATAATGTGTACTTTTCAAACAGTGAAAGAATTTCAGAAATCCGAAATACAGTGGGTCCGAAGATTAATGCACTCTCTCTCTCTCTTTCCAAAATTAGAATAGATGAAACTCTTATAATGTAAAGCAGCTGATATAAATACAATATTTATTTTACACAATAAGACCATTCGCTCTATTTATGGTATGGGTACGATACGATGGAATTAGTGCGAGAATACTTTAAGGCATCCTCACAGTGGCCTCTCTATATATTTACGAAAATATCATGTTACTAAGGAAATAATTGCGTCTTAAAATAATTAATGACTAAATGTTATGTAGACAAACTTGTAATACTATAATAACGACCTGCTAGTCTGTTCTGAATCTTCCAAAAAAATAAAATACTCCTTTTTAAGAAAGCCTATTAAAAGTTAAGATTATATTATATTAATATTAAAAAAATGCTTAATTGGTACCTCCGTGGTATAAAAAAAATGTTGGACTTTACGCAACAGAGTACCTCAATGTGAATTACCTATCCTTGTTTTCAGGATGTGGTGGACAATTACCGGCAACTTCGGAAACATTCTACCAATCGACTGGACCAAGTCGTTCTCCAGAAAAATGCATATCCCTACCTTGAACCTGAGTGATAGAAAGGTAACGTTTTATATCCCATAAAATTTTATTATAAATAAATATGCTGTGGAATAAATAGAGCATTAAGAATAACCAAGGGCTTTCCGGCGCCTGTGGGTTTATGGTTTACAAATTGTTTGGCCGGATATTATAAACAGATATACAAACTGGTGCATAGTTTTATTACATTTCATATCGCACTAGCTGTTATCTGCGACCTTGTTTGCTGTCTATACAATTTTTTATCACCTATTTCATCCCTTAAATATATTTTTTGGGAAAAAATTGCATGTATCTGTCCTCGGGACACAATTTTGAAGTTATTTTAAAATCTGTTCAGATGTTTAAAGAAATATCTATGGAAGTTTAATGAAAATTGGAAATTGGAAACAGACAGACATACAAACTCACATAACGGTATTATTGTTTGGTACCAACTTAATCATAATATTCTAATTCTATTCATATAGTTGAAAGGAAAGTAATTCACACAAATATTTATGATTATGATGATTTATATTATTTATATTACATTGAAGTAAAATTACTGTTACAGGGTTCAATGACACCTGATGACGAGATACACAGTTCAGAAGATGAGGCAGTAGCTTCCGACCTGGATATGCACGCACTCATACTTGGAGGTCTTCACCAGGATCACGAGTGTCCCGTCAAAACTGCTGATGAGGTAAACATGACTCAAATCATTAATTCATATCGCTTATAAGTATTAAGTATTTTGTATTAATATTTTTTTCTTACCATTCAGTTCTTTTTTTTCAGTTCAGTGCAGTTTAGTTAATTTATTAGATGAAACCTCGGAAGAGAAAGATTTTATTTTTTTATGTAGACCAGGGGGTTGTTACCACGATTATTTAAAAGGACAACATGCAAGTTTCTTGCTCATTGTTCCTGTGATGAGACGGCTTTCCGATTAAAAGATTCATATTAAAAGAAAAATAACTATGACTATTCAAAAGTGCTTAAATTTAGTTTATTTCAACAAAGGATTTTCTATTCTATTCTATTCTATTCTCATAAAGCTTCTTTCTACATACATCATACCTTCATCATGCAAGGATATGCCCTTCTACATAGTCATGTAGTATGTTTAATGATATATTTTCAATCAATAGGTAATTCAAGAAATAGACGACATGATGCAGGAAACACCTTCGTCAGAAGGTGACATAATTGAGTACAACGAGGCTCTGGAGAAAGGAAAGGAGGTTCTGAACTCACCTTTATATGAAGACAGTAAGTTGAAACTTCATAATATTCTTACCTATGTATGTTTTACTCTAATTCTGTATTTATAGAATTATTTAGGTCGTTATCAGTAAATGTGCATATCATAATAAAGGTTATTAACTGATATTTAGTAACTGTTTTTTTTACTTCACCGCGTAAAATAATATGATAAATATTACCATATTAATTTAAAATATGAACATTGAATACAGAATTTCAATCAAATCCATGTTATGTGATTGAATAGATTAATTTACGCAATGTTTACATTGTTAGCAAAACAAAATACTATATATAATACAAACGGGAATAGTCGGTTGTATGGATCTCATTAATATTGGAAAACATTCTAGAAAAATACACATCCAACAATTAAAAATTGAAACCAGCAAATTAAATTTAATATCAGTTTGGCTTCTTTAATGTTACTTATACAATAGTACTTATAATTTATATTATTGCTATTCATTCTTCCATTTTTGTAATTTAAATTACAGATATAGTAATTATTATTATTACTGACGCATAATAGATCTCATCAGTAAAGCATGGTGTGTAAAAATACATTTAATCAGGAATTTAAATCAAATCGTTATAATCATCCGTGGGAACCGGTATTTTATGTAGACTGACATTTTTCACGACTGTTACGTGTCTAATTTTATTCTGTGGTACAAAAAATGTACTCATGATATAATTAGGCGTAATTTTTGCACTGAGACCCGTTTTTTGTCACGTAATATAATATCCAGAGTTACTACCGTGAGAAACATTAAAAATAAACAGTTTTTGTCGCAAATTTCTCCAATTTGTTTATTAATCCAATTCGGAATCTCTCATTATAATTACAAATGTATGAGATATCTGTAAAATATATATAGGTACATTTTTGTTTACAAATTTTTGTTTACATTATTTCTGACCGAATATTTACTCACAACCAAAAACCCTTAATGTAATAAACTGAAGTTTATTAAAGTAAGAAAAGATTTTCAAATAGTCTACTTAAATTATATCTCTATATACATGATATATAATTTTTTAGAAGACCTATTATACTATTTAACATAGGTAATATGTTAAGTAAAATTATAGATTCGTCCTTTGCAACCACTGCCCATCGACCGCTTTCTGTTCTTACCTAATGGTCAGCTGGTAAAGAATGCCATATGGCACTAAGCTGGGCAATATTACAATAAAGAATAAATTATAAATAAATTAAATAGTTATTTTCTTTTTCTTTATCTTTCCCTGTGTAATATGAAATTAATTGTTAAAAGTACTTGAACTCTGACCCAAATTGCAGAAGTTCCGAATGTAATTTCAATTCTTGGAGCTCTTTTAAATAAAATTATTCTTAGAAAATATTAGACGACGCAATTACTACTATTTACCACTGGATAACCTAATCAGCCTGTTAGCTACAAACACTGATAAGATACTGCTATATGCACTTGTTAGAATAAAAACGCGTCCTACTTCCTTTGCTTAATTTAATTTGCAGAACTCCGTCAACTTTCGCTGTCCCAATTGAACGAGATATTTATGGAGCTGGAAGTCCTGATCAGAGAGTTCTCGGAGACGCTGATCGCTGAGCTGGCGCTGCGAGACGAGCTGGAGTACGAGAAGGAATTGAAGAACACGTTCATATCGCTTCTGCTGGCCGTACAGAACAAACGTAGACAGTACCACATAGAGCAGAAAAAGAGAGGAGGCACGCCGCGGTCGCCTAATTTGAACAATAGTCATTCGGAATCCAAGGTAGAGCATCTATTTGTAAATAATGAGATGCGTAGTTTTTAAGTATGTAACTAAATAATGAGCGAACTGAATGAGGACGGCGCGGGAGAGGAACTTTTGGAAAGGTTTATTAATTTAATTCAGGCGACTAATGGCCCATTTTAAAAATACCTTATAGACTAACATACATATAAATGATATTAAAATTGATAGAAAAAATAAATCATAAATGTCTGTGTGGTCACGGCACTAAATCTGCCACGGTAGCACCGATACACCACACACTTCGGCCAGTAGTCCTCTTTCATAAAAGTGGTCAACAAGCTGGTGGGAACTCAGACCACAAACGCCTTGAAAATCATATTTTGACTCCATTCGAGCTGCGTCACCCTCAATGTCAGCTTACTTTTAGTTCGTATATAGTCGAAGATGTCCTGCTTCTTAGTGGCGTAGTGTAAATGGGACGGGTACATTGCCGTGGTCGGTGTAGATTTAGGAGAGGCCTACGCCTTAGCGGCAATTATTGCTGAGGAAGAGACTTAATATTTATATTTTATAAATTAGTATAATATATATACAAATACGACATACTGCTTACAAACTTAAAGTGTAATCTCTGAAGAAGGACAAAATTAACAAGGACGTTATTATCATTGCAGTACTTGACCACAGTGATACCCTTCCACTTGGACAACGGCCCACCAGACAACCAGACTCTACAAGTGCTCATCAAAAGTAAGTTCGCTCAATATTCTCTTAATCTATACATTTTATGTAAATATATATGTATATATATTTATCCATTTACGTACGTATGTATTTAACTAACGTATATATAACACATATGTATTTATTTCGATAATTTAGCATCCCCTCCAGAGGAACACATTAAGCAATTAAATCTTTGGCCATATCAAATCGCGGCTAAAGTACTACATAATATATTTATAATAAAAAAAAAGTGATAATAAACATAATAGAGAGACAAAAATAATAATAAAAAAAACTTTGTATGAAAGTAATAGTATATCTCTATCACTCGTATATAAGAGTAGGTATTATTATATTATATTAGTTATTCTATTTACCATTAGCTAAATCGAAAAGTGTAGTATGGTAAACACAACAACTATGAAAATAGCCTCCGTAGACAAGTAAAATATAATCTGTCCTTCATAACAGAGAAGAACTTAATTAAATACTTCTTCATAACTTTGTACTAGCATCATACTAGTTATGCTTACATTTTTCCTAGCTTGTAGCATAAAAATAGCGTTTTTTTATAAGGGATGATAGTGGAATGGTGCAACCGTCTGCACTATTGGTATACGCTGGCGGGGCACCAGTGGAGTATGATAAGATGAGTATGAAGTCAGGTCAGTTAGACCATCTTGGCAAATAGCAATTTACCACGGTTTCCAGGGTGAACCGCGTGAAGGCTAACCTGAGATGGTATATTGCAGTAATGGGGTTATTAATCCACATATTACCAACTATCCCTTTTCCCCTAAAAATTGAGTTACAAAGCTGATAAAATAGCACGCGATCGCAGCCTAACTTTTTCTTACGACTTTATGAATTTTAGAATTCATATTTAGATGTATAAAATTAATATACTGTTTCCTTTAATTTCAGTACTGAAGGCGATAAACGAAGACAGCCCTACCGTACCTACACTCTTAACGGACTATATCCTGAAAGTACTTTGTCCAACTTAAACGTTGAACACAATTCTAGCAAATTTCTATAGATCTATACCTAATACCTACATGGCTACTATTAACATTTAACACTAGAAAATATATTCCTTAAGAATACCTTAAGCAGCGGCGGTCTTACTCATTGCGGGGCTCCGGGCTTTGCGTGTGCTACGTTAAAATGTGTATGTGATGCGAACGATTATGCGGTTTCTCCGCTGATTCAAGAAAACTATACCGTATTATATTTTTTTTTTAATACGTGTCCTTTATTTGTAAATTGTAGTGTTGGTAATTTTGTTCATTTGCGATTAAACGCCTAAATCGAGAGGTTTTTGCAACGTGCCACATATACATAGGTACAACAAGCAAAATGTTACTAGGCCCCTACAAGAGCGAGGCCCCAGGCAATTGCCCTGTTCTCCACCCCCTAAGACCGCCACTGACCATAACAGAATTTATATGGACATGTCCCATAAATAGTTAATAAAATTATTGTAACGTTTTTTTTAAATTGTTCATACTAAATCAAATTATATATGGTTCTGCTAACTTATTATTATAACGATATCAATTCAGTTTTAAGTGAGTATTCTATTACTCAAATAATGGATAATAGTGGATTTGTAAATAGTGACATATGTAGATAAGTTGGGTATAATATAATTTATATGAACATTTCAACATTGCACATACATACTTAGATATTGATTTCTATTAACTATCATAAGTAAATGTATACAAATATATTTTAAGCTCACGCTTCGTATTACAGAACACGTCTTTAAATTGCTTCCATAGATATTCATCGTAATAAGTCACTTATTATTAAGGTTTCAATAGTTTAAAATATTAAAAAACAAAAATAAAATGTCTATGACATATTTAATTTTAAGTCTAATTTATACAGATTCAGAATCACTAGCTTACATTTATTCGTGTTCATAATACAAGTTAAATAAATATTTTACCAGACAATTGGGTTTATGAAAAAAGAGATTTATGTTGAAATGTTTGAGTCGATATTGCCATAACAATTGAACAATATTTATGAGGAATCATATTGATATTTTTTTTCTATACGTGCGATTACTTTATTTTCATAAATGAACTGTGATATCATTGTAGTAGTTGGTTAATTAATGCTTCCTTTTAAGATTTATACATGTTATTTTTTTAGTAATTGTAAATTATAATTTTAATGTTTCATTTTCAAGCTTTGTCTGCTTATTTATAATTTAACGTTCCAATAATCATACATAGATGTAGAAAATTTAATTTTGATTTATCTATTAGATATCATAATTGAATAACATCAATTGTCTCTGGCAAAATGTGAATTGGATGATAATCTGTAAATATAATTAAAAAGGAAATATTGAAAATGGAATTGTCCTCTCAAAATAAATGTCCTAACTTTAATTAGTTTTATCGTGGTGACACTGGCTGCAGAGGCTTGTAAATAGATTTTAAATATCTGTATCGGTGTAAAATTTAAAAAGAAAACATTATTGTTCATGAGAATATCTATTGGATCATTAATTTGTTTTTAACATCGAATTATTTTAAAATGTTATTTTTAATTCATAAATAGTTTTAATGTTGTAGTATAACAATAAATGCCCGATGCAACCAGCTGCATAATTTCAGTAATTACGCAACTAATAGTTAACATAGTTGTAGCTGTGAATCATTATATATAAGTTAAGTATATCTAGTCTCAACTTTTCTTAGTCATAATTTGTTATTTAAAAAATATGAATTGACACGTTAAGGCGAAGTGAGTCTCAAAACCGCTGGAAATAGTATTTTCTAAATAATTTCAAATGCCTTTATACCATTTACTGTTGCTATAAAAATACTATCTCGTTACACGATTACCTCTTTCTAATTCTTCAATTCTTGATACCAAAAAACAGCAATCACAGCCTTGACCTTAAATACATGTCAGGACAGGACTCACGTTGTCTTAAAATAACTGCATGATACATTTAAAGTTAATTGTTGTGATTCTCAAGATATTTCTTATTGAATATTACATTTCGTTTGCAATGTTGTGGAGGCTTATGTACACTCTATTTTATATAGTGAACACCGTGTTGTTATGTGTTTTATGTATGAACGGAGATAATATGACGGTACCCGAATGTGACAGGAAGCGGCTATTGTGGAATGTACTCTAATTGTATATATTTTATGTAATTGAAGCTTTAGTGGCACATTGCAGCTAATCATACAAACATTTTTTTTTTAAACTTAGGAGCTGTCAATAAATTATGTCACACCATTTTGTGTAATTGTACTCGTTATAGTTGGCCACATTTGTGAAAATTCTACTAACTTTGTGTAATTGTACATCTAAAATGGGAGTTTTGTTTCCATTTTAAATATTTTTAAAAATATTCAGCAATTGAAATACTATTTCGCGTTTTAATTCTCAGATATTAATTCTGAAATTACTATAAAAACTTATAACTTCTCTTCATTGTTACACTTTGCCGATATCACGCCCTCCATTTAACGGGTGACGTAATTTATTAACCTTATACCTACAGGTTTTTTGAGACTACTGTGAATATTTTTTACAGAACCTTAAGACACTTATTATTCTGTGTGCTATAATAGTGCAATTATTTATAACAATTAAGATAAATAGTGAATGAGCTCAGTGTGACGCTAAATATGCAGTGTTATGTTTTAGTATAATAATGAATATTGTATGCAAAGCTGTATGTATGTGACGTTGGCATTGTTAACGAGAACGGTACCTGGATGGAAATAAAGGAGCTTGATTGAAATGAACTATTTTTTTTATTACATTTGCAATCTGTAATAGCCCAGATAGAGAATAAAAAAATGAATAAATAATAATAATAATAACTCTTTATTGTGCATAAAAAAAAGAACAAATAATTAAAAAAAAAGAAAGAAAGAAAAATATGCGAATAAAAGGCGGCCTTATCACTCAAAGCGATCTCTTACAGACAACCTGGGAGATAAAAGTATTGGGAGAGTGAAAGATAGGTGGCGCACTATATATAGTTGTGTATCTTTATATATAAAGATACTGTAAAGGATGGAACTAAAACACCGACTTATTTTCGCAAACTGAGAGCACGCACTTATTTTATATGTGACACCGAGCGTCACCGCGATCGTCAGAATCCGACTACAATATTGTGTAGAAAACGGGTAGATTTATATTAATTATACGTGTGCGCACCCTCATATATATTTATTAAAAAATGACGAACGTATCGTGTATATTTATGCATATATACGTACATATAATAATAAAATTAATTTTATAAAAAAATTGATAACGTAGTGCGTCGCCTACAATTCTGCCTCCTTAGTGCTAACTAATTAGCACTACTAACACTAGCTGGTGATAGTAAGGCGACGCGAGTGACTGGTCGACGCAGTAGTCCCGCCCGGGTGCGTACGTCTACGACGCGTACGCGGCCGTCCTCACCTGTATGACTTGAGCTGACCACTCCATGACGCCAGCATCCACGATCCAGTTTAGGGTCCACTACTACTACGTAATCACCTACCTGTAATGATCTCGACTCCTCCATCCATTTTTGTCGAGGTAGTAACGTAGGCAGATATTCCTTTATCCAACGACTCCAGAACATATCCGTAATACGTTGCGCTATACGCCAACGCTTTCGTAAACAAAGGTCAGAATCATTGAAAAGTCCATAAGTGGGACCGCTGGATGGCGTACCAATTAAAAAATGATTTGGGGTTAAAGCCTCTGGATAGTCGGGATCCAAAGAGACGTGTGTTATAGGTCGACTGTTAACCAAAGCCTCAACCTCTGTTAAGATAGTGGCTAGTGTGTCAGGATGAGGGGCTCTCTCTTTGAGAGTTACTTTAAGCGCTGTCTTAACAGTACGTATCATTCGCTCCCAAGCGCCTCCCATTTCTGGAGCGCCTGGGGGAATGAAACGCCATTCAACACCTCGTATTGTGCCATCATCACATAACAATTTAGTATTTAATTCTGCAATACTACGTTTAAGTTCAGAGTCGGCGCCCCTTAAATTAGTTCCGTTATCTGAGTAGATAACTAGAGGTAAACCCCGCCGGGCTCCCATACGACGTAAAGCCATTATTGCTGAATCACTGGACAGATCTTCAGTCAATTCCATGTGAATTGCACGTACTGTCAAGCATGTGAAGAGCATGCAATATCTCTTCTGCCTCCTGCGACAGACAGTGACTTCTATAGGTCCAAAAAAATCAACGCCAGTGTAACTAAACGGCCTCCTATTATGTTGTAGTCTCGCCGCTGGCAAATCAGCCATCCGCTGAGGCTGCGGTGCGGCGCGACGTGACCGACAGGTGAGGCACTGGGTAGACACAGTACGAACTGTTGGTCTCAATTTAAGTATCCAGTACTGTTGTCGTAACTGGTTTACAACGAGTTCGTTAGAACCATGCATAGCTTCTTTATGGTGGTGGTAGACCAGGAGCCGAGTAATTCTATGTCCGCCATCAAGTATTGCAGGTCTCAACGTAGACAGTTCTACTCCTGCCACTCTATCGATGCGACCACCGACACGCAGTACTCCTGTCTCATCGAGATAAGGACTAAGTTTTAATAATCTACTATTACGCATTATAGGTTTATTCTGTTGTAAACAAGATATTTCAACAGAGAAACTGTCCTGCTGACATTTTTTAATTAATAAAATTTCAGCTCTTTTCATTAAAGAAACATCAAACTGAATGTTTTTACGCCGACATTTGTTGATAAATAATAACACGCGGGCGGTGGCTCGCACTAATGTGATCCAATTCGAGATATTATCTTCGCTAGGCAAAGATAATTCTGAACTGTACATAACCACATTAATTGATCGTTCTTCACAAGTCACATCTTGCGATGTCTTGGAGAACTTACGATCTTTAGGCCACTCACTCTCAGGTCGCCGTAGAAAGGCAGGACCCTGGAACCACGGGTCTGAGTATGACAGTGGTGATGCATCATCTCGTGTAGCTACATCGGCTACGTTAGCATCAGACGGCACATGACGCCACTCACAGTTTTTCGTCAGCTCATCTATCTCACCGAGTCGATGAGCGACAAAAGGTTTATAATTACGCGGATCGCTACGGATCCATTGTAAAACCGTACTAGAATCTGTCCAAAAGTAACGCTTTGCTGGTTTAAAATCCTTATGATCGGTCTCAATAATATTTGCAAGGCGGGCGGCTATTACCGCTCCCTGTAATTCAAGCCTCGGTATTGAAATAGGACGGAGTGGACTCACTCTGCTTTTACTACCAACGAAACTAACTTGAACACAACAATCCGACCGAATCAATCGCCAATAAGATACGGCAGCGTATGCCTTTGTTGAAGCATCACAAAAAGTGTGGAGTTGTATGTCTACAAAATTATTATTAATACATGTAATATTCGGTAATTCATTATAGCAAAAAGTCCACTCATTACCATTAATATAACACCTAGGTATACGTAAAGAATCTAACTTCTTTAGTTCACATAACCAACTAGTAAACTGAACAAACTCTGTTGGTTGGATGTGGCATTTCCAGTCGACACCACTACGATGTACACTTTGAAATAATATTTTACCTTTAATTATACAAGGAGCAAGAAAACCATGAATATCATAAACAGACATTAATATACTAAGCATTTGAGATTTCGTAGGTGGCTCCGTGCCATTTATTATGTTTTGCGGAATACGGTTGAATGATATTTTAAAAGCAAATGCATCGTCATTAGGATACCACATCAAACCGAGAGTGCGCTCAGTTGTATTATTAGCTCCGTGTTTAAAATCAACAGCAGACTGAGTGAGCGCTCGATGCGGTATTGTGTTCAAAACCGGTTTGCTATTACTCGACCAGCGGCCTATCTCGAATCCGCCGTAACTATGTATTTCCGTAATTTCGCGAACTAATTTAATTGCTTTTTCTTCGCTGTCACACGAGTACAAACAGTCATCCATGTAATGATTGTTAATAATAACATCTACCGCTTCCGGATACAAATCCTCATATTTAAGCGCATTTTTATTTTTTATATGTTGCGCAATGAATGGAGAACAAGTTGCACCAAAAACTAAACTTTGCATGACACATATTTTTAACGGGGACTGGTCGTCTTCCCGCCATAAAAACCTAAATAAGTGTTGATCTTCAGCTCTAATACGTATACGTAAAAACATGTCCTTTATATCGCCTACTATAACATATTTATGTTCGCGGAATCGCAACATAATACCTAGTAATGAGTTATACAAATCGGGTCCAGTAAGTAAGAAGTCATTTAAACACAAGCCGTTGACCTTACCGGCACCGTCAAACACTAACCTCAGCTTACTGGGTTTGTTCGGATTTAGCACGCCAAAATGACAGAGATACCATATACGATTACCTACAAGTTCATTTTCCTTTAAAACTCGAGCATAACCATTATCAAACAACTTGTGCATCTCTGTTTTATACCTATCAGCGTACGCGCTGTCCGACTTAAATTTTCTCAATAACCCGTTCAAGCGTGATAGTGCATAGTTGTAACTATCAGGTATACATAAAACATCCTTAATGAATGGCAGTCCGACCTCCCACCTGTTACCTATGTTTCGCGCGGTCTGATCTAATATATTAACCGCTCTTAAATCGGCCGTATTCTCACGGCGTAAGGTTGATATTCCTATGCAGTCCAGTTCAAATGAATTTTTAACTAAGTTGTTTAATATAGTAATTTCACTTACCTCGTCGTTGTGTGTAACGTGGAAACTGTGCCCCTGTGTGAGTGATGAGTTCGTGCGACCATAACTACCATGTATCGACCAGCCTAAGCGACAACGCGTTGCATAGGGTTCATATTTATTACCGTGTAATATTTCTAACGGCGCTAAAAGAAAATAATTATCTTCACCTATTAACAGACGAGGCACCACGTTCTCAGTACATACAAATTGTTTTACAGATGATAAATAATCACAGTGAATATTATTTATTACAGACAAATTTTGCATAGGTAATTTTAGTTTAGATACATTACGTAAAGTTATATTATAGTTACACTTATTATAGTTACAATTATCATAGCCAGAAATATTTAAACAGACTTTAGGAGCATCAGACTGGTATACTTCTAAACCAAAAGCATCAATTAATTTAATAGAACTAGAACTTAAACTTTTAAGACCAAGTTCATTTACTAAGCCGGAATCGATCATCGATATCGAAGCACCGTCATCTAATAAGGCATAAGTACTCACTGTACCGTTGGGTCCACTTAACTTCACTTTAACTACTTTGAGTATCACATCACATGACGTCACTGTGGGGGAGCGACCGCGCCCCGGTAGCCCGGGCGCAGTCCCGTCGGTAGCGGAGTTCACATAGGCTACAGTCGCGTCGGTACTCGATGATTCATGTTGTGATGATGTCGCCATAGTGGTCACGGGCTGTGTGTCTGTATGGATGGGCTTTCTGTAATGCAACAATGTGTGATGCGCCAGCCCACAGTCGTCTATGTTACATACAGGTGCAGCGCATGACATACGATCGTGTCGCGCCAATAAACAACAATAACATAGCTTGTTATTTTTAACAAAATTCCATCGATCCTTACGCATAGCTCTTCGAAATAATCGACAATCTGGCAATAAGTGTTGTGATTTGTTGCAAAATCTACATAATTTTGATTCATTAATAGTTGTAGTTGTAAATACTTGTTTATTATAGTTGTAGCGGTAGCGATCATCTGTTCGCTTGTTATTTATTGTAGGCATGTCGGGTTTCTTTTGTTCTCGCGGCTGTGATAGACCGAGAGCCGACGTCATTTCAGCCTCACGTTTTAAAAAAGATGCATATAACATTAGTTTTGGTGTATCATCTGTCAAGCGATCAAATGCATAATCAGTGAATTTACTAATTAATATACTTGGTAATTTCGATGATATTGCTGACGCGAGCTCTGGGCTGCGTAAATAATCATGCAGATTCATTGCGTTGAGTGTAGCAATGCAATTATTAATTTTTATTGAAAAATTAACTATATCTTGTTGATAATGAGTAGGTAAAGATGGTAACTTTTTTATCTGTGTAGTTACATGGTGAATAATAATATCGGAACGGCCAAACCTCAGTTCCAGCGCAGATATGATGTCGCCGGGTGACGTGTTTCCGATTAACAGATCGGTGACTGCCTCCTTAGCATCACCTCTTAGTGCACGGCGTAACCTCCACAGGTTCTCCGAATCACTAAACTGACACACGCGAGTGGACTCCATGTATGCACTTTTAAAATGTAACCACTCCATGCAATCGCCAAAATAAGTGGGTAATTCCCTCGGTGTGGCGAGACGGGTTAGTAAACGCTCATCCTGGTGTGATGACGAGTTCACCATCATATCCTTCAGTGTGTGTGCTAGCTGCAGAATACTATCTTCTCCATTGACTGGTGCAGGGCGGCTATGTTGTGGACAATCGGTTGCCGGCACTGCTTGCATCATCGGTGCCGTGTTCAACTCCTGATCAGCGTTACACGGCGGTTGCACATTACTCTGTTCCAGCCAGTCTTCAACATGGGAATGAATATGTGGGTCATATACTGAAGCGTGCTTAGAAGAGTGAATGGACCTTCTGCTGCCATCCGTGATGATGGCCAGGTTAGCTTCCAGCTCCTTATCAATCAAATCCAGTTGAATTTTTGCCTTTGCACGGGCAGCCTCCAGTTCCAACTGTTTTCGTTTGATCTCTGACGCCTTTGATGACGTAACTGACGGATCCCGTAGAGGACGTTGCGATGACATATTTTGCTGCATGAAGAGCTCCTTTTCTCCACGTAGCGATATATTACTCCGTACCGTGCTACGCGGCGGAATTACAGCGGCGGTGTCTTTAGCGAGCACATGCTCCGAAGCACATTCTAACCTATCGGTCAGTCTATGGCGTTCTTTGTACGAAATTATTTTATCGCGCGGCGGTGTATTGAACATTATTCTGGTTCAGATTTGGCGAGAAGGATCAGCTTTGTAAAGGATGGAACTAAAACACCGACTTATTTTCGCAAACTGAGAGCACGCACTTATTTTATATGTGACACCGAGCGTCACCGCGATCGTCAGAATCCGACTACAATATTGTGTAGAAAACGGGTAGATTTATATTAATTATACGTGTGCGCACCCTCATATATATTTATTAAAAAATGACGAACGTATCGTGTATATTTATGCATATATACGTACATATAATAATAAAATTAATTTTATAAAAAAATTGATAACGTAGTGCGTCGCCTACAGATACAGAACAAGAAACAAAATACATAAATAAAATATATAAAAAAATACATGTACAACGAAAAATAGTAGATATACCTACATACATATTATTAATTATTACTGTAGTAGGTAAGTATTTTAAAAGAAATAAAAATATATAAAGTAAATAATATTAAAAAAATAAGTCTGGGGTTCCTCTGCATCAATTGCATTCAAATCTAGATCCAAAAACATTCAGTATAGTTAACTAATGTTGTCTTGTAATATAAAATGTTATAAAATATAGGTAATATTATTATTAAGATATCAGAACTAGAACTACCCTCCGTGTTTACATCCCGCCCTCTTTAGAGACGGGTTGTGTAGTAACTAAATGGATCAATTAGAGTCCATCCGATTATTATTCAAATTCATGAGAAACCCATCGTATATTAGCAGCCTAACAGAATGTATATCAGCAGCTTTAGACGGATTAATTTTATCTACTTCCTTGTATAATAAGTAATAGGTACTTTATTTCGATCTTCAATTAATTTATAATAACAGTAGGTAAAAAAATCGTACATAAATTAAAGTAAGAGGTACAATTTATTGAGTTATTCCACATTTTATTATTTTGTAATTTAAATATACGCGAAATTAACGTACACTTGATTGAAAATACTGATATCAGATCAGTCAGTATTATAGTCTGTTTTTCACAATTTTCTAAAACCAATACATCACAGATATTTAAATAATAAAGTCAATTGTTTTGCACGGATTGTAACATTTATTTTTCATGGCATGTGTTCCAATATGAAATGGTGGAAACTGGTGACACGAGCATAGGCAGATGGGAAGCCGAGCGTGCAACCTGCAGCGGCTACGAAAGAACTTACTCCGATCTGAAAATTAAAAATATTACATTGTCAATTTCGTTTTTGTTAGTAGGAGTGATATTAATAGTCGGGTTAGTGTATATTAAGGTAGTAACAAATACAAAAAAGTATATAAAAACAAGCACAATAAATTACAATAAAGAATACTACAAAAGAATATTTCTGCACAAGTCTTATAATGGTCGCTTTTAATTTCCCGCGTAAACGTAAAGCACCACAGATTCACAATATCTTAAAGCGCGCAGTCGCAATAGCATGATTAGCAGCGCGTCATAGCTGTATGAGCTGTTAATACGAAGTATTACCAATTTTTTTTATTAATGTGTTTTACGGCTCTGGATACAAGTCCTTCAAATGACTATGAAATATTGTCATTATCCTGTAAGTTAACCCATGTCATGTGTGGTAAAGATTAGTAAATTAATGGGAACTATTCAATGTGGACCCTATCGCTTCATTCCTCCATTATTCTTTTAGGGTAACTTTAAAATTGATACCCTTTCTTAGCAGTCCGGGTATTAATTTCATTATTAGCGTATAGAGTGACTATTCAAAAGTGCTTGTAATAAGTGTATTTGCATAAAGATTATATATATTTCTATTCCTGTATAAGGCTGTTAATCCTCGAAGGATGAATTAATTGTATGTATAAATGTAATATCACTGCCAAATCTTAATCTTCAAACTTAATGACAACTTACGAATCAATTTTAACTGCTAAAATATGTGAGATTCTCAATAATAGTTGTTTAGACGAAGTACGCTAACATTTTTTCAAATAATCCAGACAAGAATAAGTTATTTGCAGTCTATATAAATGTAGGTATGTTAATTTATTATATGAATACATAGTCTGTGGTACATATATATTTTTGATTGGTTCTAGTACAATTATTAATAGACGTATGATAATAAAAATATAATACTTACTAAAATTTTCTCGCCATTTCTTGTGACGTAAAGAGGACCACCAGAGTCCCCGCTGCAGACGCCCACGCCGCCAGCACCAGATGTGCAGATGGTGCTTTGTACGACGAACTGTGGACCGAAGCTTTGTTGACACAGATCCACTGAGATCACTTGTAGGTCTACTTGACTCACAACGGTATTTACATCAATGCTAGTTTGCTCTGAAAAAAAACAAATACCTATGAGAGACTAACTTCTTAACAATCCATGGTTTGGCAGTGGCAGAGAGGGAAACTCCGAGTAGTACCCAGAACTTATGTCCACTTTATACATAAATGCCAATATGCCCATTTTATACATAAATATTGCAGAAGTATAATACAATAGTAATTATAAAACTAAAAACTGGGACCTGTATGTATATGTTACAAAACTCTATTATTGAAAGTTGCAATGATACCCCGGTACTTTTTCATTGAATTAAATCTGTTAATAGAACTTTTGGGACCTGGTTAAATGAGATTTGAATTCTAAGATGTTTCCGATGTTTAATTGAGACTCTAACGCTCAATTCCCAGTATAAGTAGGTATAAGTGAGACAAATTAATCAGATTGGGACAGGTTTTAACACGTTTGTTTAAAAAACATTTAAATATCTTTCGCACATGCTTTGTTTGTTAGTACTATTTCAATAATGGAATAACTGTACATTGCGACCTCTAAGCGTGGGCCTCTGAAAGTGAGACAACTATAATTTTAAAATGATTAATTGGAAAATTACATTAATGGAAACCTTTAATAATTGGGACATAATTCTTGGTACATTTAAATCTCATTTAACCAGATTTCACTGTATTCCAAAGAAGAAGAAATGAAGGGGTAAATTTACCACTTCGCTTTAAAAATTTATAATTTATAGGATTTTTAATTGAAAATCCTATAAATTATATTTTTTTCAATAATTATTAACCAGAAATACTTTCACGACTAGTATCACAGGTACGAAACGACTAACAATATCGTATTGTGTGCAGCATTTTACATACCTTTATCTTGTTATGTACATGTATTTGAAATCCAACGCACATCACGCAAACCTAATGCGGTCTATATTGGCTAGTATATTGTCTATATCTATATTTTTAAAAATTAAATGAAGTCTTACCGTCGCTGATGAAGCCATATCCAGCAGCAGTAGCCCATTGTCCGACGAATTGATCAGTCAAATGATCTAACGGCAGCGCAATCGGCTGGATGCTCTCTGTTTAGAAAAACAACGTATAAATTATTATTACTTACAACTATAGTAATAGAAACAAATAATACAGAATCTCAGTATTATTTTATGTATTCCAATAAAGTTATTTTAAAACCAACTTTAAATAACTCTATTAAATACAGCAATAAAATTACTGTTTACCGTGCGAAAACAAACGACTATTTTGGTACGAAGATAAAGCAGAGCAATATTTATGATATATGAGAGTAAATTTTTTTCTATATTTTCTGAGATAATTACAATTGGAATAAAGTAGATGTAAAATATTGATTGCATTAAAAACATTATTGTACCTGTGAAGGAGATATCGAACGGCAGGTAAATAACGGCAATATCGTTATTCAAATTGGATTGATTCCACAGCGGGTGCACGACTACGGTAGAAGTAAATATCCTCGTGCCACCATAGAACAGAAAGTGTGAGCCCAGTACCACAGTCAAACTCTCCCCTTGTAAATGTCCATAGGACCAACAGTGGGCGGAAGTTACCAGACGATTGGCTGATATAAGACTTGATCCACAGGCAGATTGGCCAGCGATGTTCACGAAATTGATTATAATTCCAGCCTGAAATAAAAAATAACGCTTGATACTTTTTGACAGTCGGGTAAAATAAATTAATTAATTTTACTTTTATTTGATTTATTTAGTTCCAAATTAATCAGGGCTTCGTCTATGGATTTATTCGACTTAGATTTTTCAATAAAGCTTCATTATACCTATAAAATAAAATTATATAATACACATATTACATATACAAAGTAAAAAGACCTTGAAAAAAGTCAAAAAGTGTGTGTATAATAAATACACTGTTTTTACCTGTATTCACCGTTGTTTACAATTGTACACTTTGTTGTTTATATATAAATATAAACGTGATATTTATCCAATTTATAGATACCCCGTATCATAAATATTTATGATCTCCCAATGTGACCAATGACGTTTAAAATAGTGTTGGAATATCGGGAGCTCATAAATAATATTGTTATGATAAATATTCCGTTTATATGTATAATGTGTACAATTAAAGTAATAAATATGTATTTATCCTGTGTACTAAACATACAGTCGCTGGCTGACATAATATATAATTTATATAGGAAAACACCCAAACGAATACGAAAAGATAATAATCATAAATATAAATGTTTGAACTGATTGATGATTATATTGTAAAGATTGAACTCACCTTCACAATAATCAATACCTTCATCAATCAATTTGAATTAATGATATTATCATTGTAATTTATCATGTTCATTTCAACTGCGTCATAATTAGATTACCTGAGGATATGTAGCTCGGTACACCATGAATATTGTATAGGTATTTTTAATAATACTAAGAGAGCAATAGAAAATACATTAGTGAATCGATATTACGATTTTTGTTAAACAAAAATGTTTTCAAATAATTATTATATATTATTGTTATTATACACTTATCTATCTAAAACCTATTTTTAGAAAGGAGAAATTATCTTTTTAATTTTGTTCATAATATTTCACGATCTCGGTTTTAGCACTGCTGTTTAGTACACCGCTTTACCTCCGATGGTCGCGGATTTGGTTCCTCGCGGGGTGCAAACATTTGTATTCATGAGTATAATTATTTATATATGTCCCAGACATTTTTATAAATGTTGTACATTATATATGTATTTATTGTAAAAATAAAAAAGTACTTAAGTATTTATATCCGTTGTCAAGTACCCATAAAACAAGCTCTGCTTACCTTGGAACTAGATGGAGTTGAGTAAATTGATTTCTGTATAATAACTGTGGGGAATATACATATAATTAACGATTTAACTATAATACTAAGTAATCCTCTGTTGGATCTGTATTCATAATGATATTAGGTTTATTCCAGGTATTAACTTTAGGAATGGTTTAAACCTCGATCATTTAGATCACGTCAGATTTTTTGTAATAAGACCGTTAGACTTGTACTTTAAATGCCCCAGTTGAATACGGTTAGATTATAACTGTAATCGATATAGATTACAACTGGGGCAACGTCGCGCGTTATAACTAGTATATTTTTAAATATGTATTCACCAAATAAGGATGCGCATTATCGTCGGCAACGCTTCCTCCCACGATCCTGCCCTGCTGTTCCACTACGGTCTCATAATCCTTTCCGGCGAAGAGCTTATCTTCAGCCTCTTTGATTCTCTTCGCAAGAGGGATGCCCACCAGCTCATGGTATGACTGCGGGTTTCTGATCCCTGTAAGTGGGTTGCTGGCCACTGCTACCACTAAACCCAATAGCACCAAGACACGCATGTTTTATTTACGTATTACCACAGCCAAATCACTATTCTCAATGTTAATTGTTCATTATTTATATACCTTCATTATCAATATTATCTTTATGTTGTCGTCTAATTATCTAAAACTAAGCTGTAATCATATTCTATAACATTTAAATATCTTTTATGGGAATGGACGCATGCTTTGTAATACTAATCGTATTTCTATTATTGATTGATAATAGTATAGTGCACTCGAGTGCGCTAACGGTATACACTGGCGGGGGGTGGTACGATGAGCCTGAGGGCAGGTCAGTTAGCCTATCGCCTATCGTACTAGCCTATCATAATAGATTCACCAGAAACATCACGATGGTTTTTCATGTTTGTATCTCCACGCGATTCCAGAGAGAATCTCGTGGAGTTTGGAGGAAAGAATGGTTAACCAGACATGATACAATATTAGTAAAAGTGTCGTTTGTCACTCACATCCCCTTCCTCCATACCAATCGTATTGCAAATTAAGGATATTTTTGATCATTTTTCATGAATGAATGCTAACAATATACTCTATATTGTCAGGGTAACTAAAGCACCAATAGGAGATCACAATTAAATCAAACTTAATAAGAAGAACTATAAATGATTATTAATTCAGGAACAAGAGTTACGTAGGATAGTAAAATACCCGAATTAGACATTCTTCCAAATCGTATGCGTTAGTACCTCTGTCTCATCAATTAACCAGTTTGTTTTTAAGACTGTGTAAGGCTTGAAAATGTGAGAGGACGGTGACAGATATTACACTCGTTCCTTCGATATGGCCACGCGTGATACAAAAAATGATAAAAGACAATCTCAGTTCAGTACCTAGATGACAGTTGCCACTTTTTTAGTTGTCAGCCTTATATGTGTACAAAGTTATACACGTAATTAATTTATATTCGTCACAATAAATTTTGGGTTTATACTTTACTTTTACAGCACAAATATGATTTTTAGACTTATTCTGTATTATTCAGTTATATTTTACATTAGGTACTCTCTATGTATAAACTTTGTTACAACTTAATTTAAGTATAAACTACGTATTTATAATATGAACGACCAATTTGTGCTTCGTTGAGTCATCGCAATTGTTAACTATCGCGTGACGCACCATTAATTAAAAATGGTAAAGTCAATAATCATGTAACCTGAAACGGAACGTCAGAGGCCAGAGCCAAAGTAATCTATGTGACATTGACAAGTGGATGACGGATAATTGAACGGAGGCAGCGGGAGTTTTGGAGCGAAAGTGTTTATATTATTATAAAAACAAATAAGAGATAGATAATTGTGAATATTGTAGGCATTGAGGTGTTTCTCTCCCTGACTAACCGGCATTACGCCTAAGTCGTCAGGATACTAGTGATTTTAAAAGTTCAGAAGCGGTACCAATCCCGCCTACAAATTCGACTGTAAGGTAATTCTGACTAGAAGTTGTGGTAAGTGAATTTACGTTAATAACACGCATACCATTAAACGCAGTATCTCACTTGTTTTATTGAACTTTTGGATGAATTGCTTTCTACATATTAAATAGATTTAGTATGTACGATAACTTGCGAGAGTAATGACATGACATGTAGCACGATATTGAGCTATACAATATACCTAAGAAAGAAGTATTATGAATACATTAAGTATAAAACAACATGGATATCTAATTAGTTTAAAATACAGAGTAACTATTGTTATGTTATTAATGCCTATGATAGAGTATGATAGGATATCAACAGATTAGAAACAGTTACATTAACTATGTTGACATACAGGTTGAACATGAGAACACATACCGTGTTATACATATAAACAGTGTAATGGTATTGCTGAGTTTGTTGCTAATTCACAGTAAATTAGTCAAACTTACTGTTCAGTTTTGTGTGTTTGTTCTACGTGAATTGAATTGAAGAATTGTTATTATTTCTTTACATAGGTACACATATATGTTTGATGATCCCATTTCAGATAAATGACAATCACAGGCATAGTCCAGGTATATGTCTTGATTGTGGTTATATTCCCAAATTGAGATACTGTCATATATATATTATATTGGTTGATACTTTGATATGTGTTTATTAATGAATTAATAAAGCATATTAATATAGATAGACACAGTTGACATAAACTGATACAAGCTACATAACATGTTATATTTCATAATATTACATATTAAAGACATTTTAGATGCTATCTCATGATTAGCTGTGAAGCTCTCAGTGAAAATAGTACTTAACTCTGATAGTACAATTATTATATTTATTTCTTGCTGTGTTTTGAATTTTATAAATGTATATATATATATGTATATATATATAGCAATGGCTAACAATTGGTAGTAAACTCCAATGTTAAAAACCGAATAACTGTAAACTATTATTATTAATAGTTCCTTATTTAATTATTAATTAGTATAAAATCCAATTGAGATCTATTAGGATCCTCAAGGTTATCATTATCATATGATATTGATTATTAATGTGTTGAAAAAGCACCTAGAGATGATATCCAATTCCTCAAAGGTGTCATATTATGCTGGAATTATATATTAAGTATATGTATGCTCATATTGAATGTATTATATGTTTGAGCAATTGGTTCACTTCTTTGATGCTTCTCTTGAAATTCATTAGAATGACCCTTAGCAGCCATTGTTGATCAATAAAGGTACTTAAAGGTCCTGTGCAGGTACCTGTAGCTATGTACACTTGTCATTTGAGACAATGTTTAGTAAGTGATTGTTGGAATTTATAAGCACCCAATTAATATGTGTCATGTTAGAAAGTGATAGATTACAGGTAAGACTATTCTTACATGGTTTAGTTTTGTAAACTATGAAGTTGTCTTTTAACCTAAAGAAAGGCTTTTGGTAAAGCCAGAAATGGATGTTGTTGGGTCTTGATTGTACAAAAGACCTGTTGACTTTAGTTTAGTTTTATAATTTATGAAGTTGTCTTTTAACCTAAAGAAAAGCTTTTGGTAAATCCAGAAATGAATGTTGTTGGCTCTTGAGTGTATTATTGATTGTACAAGAAACCTGTTGAATTTTCTAAAAAATACTTGAGCAACAAGTTTGTCTTTAAATTTACTATTAGTGTTATGAATATGAATAAAAGTTTTTTGAAATAAGTTAATATTTGTGTACATACAGAATGTTTGGATATATATATTGAGTCGCAACAGTGAGAGTATTTGCCTTTTGATGAGTTATAACTCTCCATACAGTAAATTGCACAAAATGTCATGATTTTATAATATGAATATGTACAACATAAGACAATTGTTATCACAATAATGAAAATAGACTATTGTAATATATTGCAATGTATTGCTATATTGTCCAATCTTGTGTACTGCATAAGCTAATGAACTGAAGATTTGCTGCAAGGATCTGAGCTTAAGTTATCCATTGAGTTTTATTATTTAGTGTCATTTGTAGAATGACAGTACTAAGAAACTATAAAGTGGACATTCATTGTTAAATCTGTATTGGAATTGAAATGTCAACCAAGGAGGAAATCATAATTGTTTAAATTCAAATTGTATTATATATTTGTGAAGTACAGATAATAAAAAAAAAAAAAATAGAATATATAGAATATATTATTGAATATTAATATAAATAAATGTATATCAGAAGATGATAATAACTGATTTAAAGCATTCATGAGTTAATAATGAACTCATCTTGAAGTTAGCACATGGATTGTGTCAAACAGTGCGGTCTAGAATTGTGAAATTTGTATAATAAACTTTATAATTCAGATATTATGGCAGGAAAATGGAAATAAATGAGTGCATAGCACTCTTTTGTTGTATATAGGTATGGACAGATGGGAGAGAATTAAGTGAATACATGTAAACTGTGATATGGTGAAATAGAGGAGAAAGAAAAAATTTGATACTATTTTTAAATGGATTATGTAACTTACCTTTTATGTATTTGTATACTACAGGATTATAAAATATTTTATGATTTGACTAATGAAGTTTCTGTATATTAATTAGTTATTATTAAATAGTCTCTGTGGGAGGCAATGTTAAGATATTCAAAGTACATAAGCTTTAAAATTATTATAGAGGAAAATTATGAGACACAGACAGACAAGATTGTTAGAAAAGTAAAGAGATATGGATATTCTAGAAAACTTTGCTGATGACCTTGGTAATGTGGTTATTCATAGGCTGCATAACTTTCCATGCATGGAAATTCGTTCCCATTCTATACAACCGTTATATATTTATGAGAATTCCTGATTGTTGGTGTTTTATGCTATGCCTTTATAAGCATGTGGTTTGTTTTATTTAATATAACTTTGTTACTAAAGAGGATGAGACTAAAGAGAGAGAGAGAGAGAGAAAAAAAAGAAGAAGAATAGGAAAAATCCTCAATATCTTGTGAACACAAGTTAATCACTGCAAATATAACTTAGATTGAAAGTGAGATGTTGGTATCCGTTGGGATGAACAGTGATTCACAAGCACAGTATCAGTATAATTTATAGAAGAAAAAAATATATAAATAGCAATGATTCAAAACAAGATTGTATCATATGTACAGGTATAAATACATATAGTAATGTCTATTTAACATTTAAATAGTATTGTGATTGATTGGATTGTATGACGCCATATAATGAAATGAAAAATTTATAAGCCAAGAGACCAGTGATAGCCAAAGAATATATATATATAAGAAAATGGCAGAGACGACAGACAAAAGAAAAGTAGGACAGCAGAAAAAAAAGATAAGCAGATGACATAAGAAAAAAAGGAAACAGCAGGAAAAGACTGGATGCAAACTTCCATAGAGAGAGACGTGGATAGTCAGTATGGACGAGCTGGTTTATGAATATGGATACTGGCGTAATTTATGAGATTTTTATATGGTTTACTGATGGATAATAAACTACTTTATGAATAGCATATATGTAGAATGAAAAATAAATACTGCATGGTCTAAGTTGTAAGTTTTACATGTTATAGAGA